TGAAAGTTGTTCTGATGAGTTTGTTTCTTTTTATTTGATTTATCTTTGAGTTGATGTTGATTCAATATGAGATATGTTTCTTAATTATTTACTTTTGCGGGTCTAATGTGATATTGCATTAAAGATTCGATATTTTGGATTCATAGTTGTTATTCCCCTACTTGTCATTCGAAGTTTTATTTTGTTGTTTCTCTTCCTAATTTTGCTCTTAGAAGTTTGAAGTACTGTCCTAAAAAATCTAGTATATGTATTTCATTAAAAGTAGACTCACTCTGTTAGATGAACAATTCACATGAATCTAGAGAACATGAAATTGTATGTTCAACAGTTCATATGAGTCTTAACAGTACTCTAAGTTTTGGGTTTTCTATGCAATTTGTGAAAGCGTATGAAATTGGGGAGGAAGTGGGTTGAGGCCAATTTGGGTATACTTGTTCGGCATTAAGTTCTCCAATTTGTATGCAATGATATATTAAGTATTTAGCCTGTAATGCGATCTGATCTCACTCTTTCTCTCGTTCAATTGCTCTGCTCTACCATCAGTTGAAAGTTTTGCATTTTCAGCACTAACCACTAGTTTGATAGGATATTTTGTTAGCTTTCCGAAACAGGTTGCTAGTTCTCTCCATTTAATCTGTCCATTACATAGAAATATGTACTTCAAACATATTTACTTAAACATAGTCATGTTTGTTTCTTAATGATGTTCCTCGAATGGAAATTTTACTCAATCATCTTTTTTAATTTAATTAAAGGCCATATCTGAGGTGAATTTTAAAAGCAGGAAATTACAGAAGTGGAGGCATCGAATGGGATTGATTAATTTTTCAAGAGTACGGGTGACGTTGGTAATACTTATCAGGCATATGAATTTTCTTTTTTCATGTTTATTAGAAAATGTTGATTTTTTAAAATTTCTTTTGATATAATTGGTAGTGTGTAGCAAAACAAAACAAGGAGGAACCATCACAGTCTTAAATGTTTATCGCAACTCGTACAAAGATATGAAAGGAAATTCAACCCGATACCAAAGTTGCAATAGTAAGTTTTTTAAAGAGATTATTGGTGAATTTGATTCAGAATTAAAATTTATATATTGTGGACAGTGTGAGTCCATTGTATTTTGTTAAGTATGTCATCATCATCTTCTTCTTCTTCTTCTTCTTCTTCTTCTTGTGCAAGTACGAGGATAAATTAAATCTGTTTTATTTTGAATTCTTTGATTGGAAAAGTTATTAGTTTTTTTTATTTCTTGATTGCTATTACAGGAACAGTTTGCTCGGAAGGAAGGTAACAGATGAACCATAAGCTGATTTTAGTCGTAAAATAAATATTTCTTACAATTAACTATACATGTCAATTTTATTCAACATACTGAACTTCAGAATCGTCAAAATTCCGGAGAAACAATTGGTGATGCCTTCAGAGCAGTGTTTGGAAAGGAGCAGTCTGGACAACTTAGATGCTATGGCAGATCAGTGACAACAAGTTCTCTGAAAAAAGATGGGAAAACTAACAAGATCAAACAAAAGAATGCTAATGAAATCAATTCTCTCAAGGAAGAAATGAATGAAAAAATGAATGAAATGCGATATTTTTTAGTCAATTGCTGCAAAACGACCCTGGATTGAACGTTCAAGATATACTAGGGGTTTTTGGATTTAACCTTGTTTCACCTGTTGATACAAGTAGCGCACAAGCTCTAAGAGGCCACAATATTCCAAATTCTTTAGGGTCAACTCATGATCCAGTTCTTCAAAAGGTATTTTTTTTGTTCCTTAAGGATTTTCACTCTCTCTCTCTCTCTCTCTTCTTTATTGAAGTATCAAATTCTGAAGATAGTTATCTTGTTCTTCTTGGTTGTTGGTTGATCTTGCACAACAAGATCATTATAGTTAATTTATGTGTGTAGTTGTGGCTGATTCATGTGTGTAGCTGTGGCTACAGCTTCTTATTAGGATCTTATGTTAGCATTAATAAAATCAATGTACATGTTATAGGATCCGTTTATGTAGTGATGGAAATTCTAGAATTAGTTGATAACATATCTTTGTCCCATCTTGTACTTCTATTAGAAAAAGTTTCAGGATTTTACGTGGTCATGAACCTTGACCTGGAAAGTGGTAAGGAGTTTTTGGAGAACAATAAGGAGTACAGGTTTGAGTACATCCAAACATATTTATGCACTACATGTTTCTTTTCATTTCTCAAGGACTTGAAATCTACTTCTTTACCTATTACATCATTTCTCTTCACTATATGTTTCTTGTATTTACAAAATCACTACATTGTTGTTTCATGTTAGTGGTCGCCTCCTTAAGGGTTACATAGAACTTCAATCTCATTGATATTTTCGTTGATTTTTTGATATTTCATAATTGCTGCTTCAATCTTCTTATAGATTCTCTCATAGGTAATGGTTGATTTCTCTTTGAAAAATGCCTTGGTACTTTTGATTTGCTAGTGCTTTTTTTTATAAATTATACTGGTTGTTATTCGATTTGGATCCACATTAACTACCCTTAAATCTTGATTGCTATTGCTTTGTTTATAATTTTAACTGGCAGTTATTTTTTTTCTCCATTGAAAAATTCTTTGGCACTTTTGATCATATGCACTTAAACGGAGAAAAAAGAATAGTTCCGGCCAAATTTATCGCTTCTTGGTCATCGGAATCATGTCGTTTGTAGTTTGATGGCAAGCCGATCGTGACCTATGGGCAGAAAAAAGAGGAAATCAAAAATGATGGCACAGTCGCCACAGTATAGTGGTGGCATGTGCAACATATAAATCCTAGAATATCAGCGTCGAGAGAGCATGATTGTTTGTTAGAATTCACAAAGGGAGAAAGCATGATCATTTCTTAGAATTCACAAAGGGTGTGGTATTGAGATGCAATAAGATGTATTTCCTCTCTGTATATATAGAGAAACAACACATTTCCATTTTTGTAGCTCAATTCCACTCCCTTCGTGGATTCAACGAAAAGATTGTGCTCGGTCGTCATTGCTCTTCTAGGGTGTGTTGTGCACGCCATCACACTTCTCAAGAAAATGTGCAGTCATTTTCAGTCACCCTTTTCGTTTACCCATAGGACACCATCATCTTTCCACTCAACGAAAAAACGCAAAGGTTCTATCATCAAATAAGCATTAAATTTATAGGAACTTTTGTTTTGTCTGTCTAAGTGCATAAAATCTCATCTTCAATTTCTAGGTTCTATCTTACCAAATTATTTTCGCAATTTGTTTTAGTGTGATTGTTGATCTGTTATGTTATGTGTTTAGTGACTCTCTGTTATTTCATGCAGTGAGTCATATATAGCACAATTCTTGTTGTTTCATGTATGATTTGGATTACCGTCATTTTATACACCATGGTGTTTTGAAATGTTGAAGGAAAAACTCTGGGAAAATATGTGAATGTGCGGAGTAAGTATTGGTTTTGAATGTGCAGTGATACAAATTGTTGCATTCTTAGCTCTTATTATGGTGACTTACTGGTGTTTTTTTTAAACTTAACTGATACAAATTGTTGCAATCTGATTTGCTGGTTTGCTTTGATTGTTAATTATATTTCATTTTAAATGTGTATAGGGGAATAGATGTGCTCAAATTTGAAGGGTCGCCACAAGTTAATTTGATCTCATTGAAGTGAAAGAGGACGATTAATGAAGAGTTTTTGAACAATTGCAAAAGTTTGAATACTTTTTGAACTATTCACGTGTACAAACATATTTAAAATATTGCTTTATAAGTACGTGTATGTACACAAGACTATCTTTTGAAGTTTATTACAAATTTATATATTTGAACTAGTTATTAGCTAATTTGATGTTTGAGATGATTTATTGCAAAATAATATTGGTGTTTCTAATTAGAAATTGTGGCATATAAATGATTTACAACAAAAAAAAATATTACTAGACTTAGAAGTGTAGCCAAAGGACTGTAAATTGAAAGATATGCATATAGGAAAGGACTACACTTCAAAATGTTGTCACACATAAGGGCCACTCTTTAAAGTATAGCTTCTAAGGCGACACTTTTAAGCGTAGCAACAAAGCGTGGTCTTTTTTTTTCGGCTATGCTTTTAAGCATAGAGGTGATAAGGTAACACTTCTAAGCATAGCTGCAAAAGTTTAGCTTTTTTGTCTTTTAGGCTACGCTTTTAAGTGTAGCTGATCAGGCAACACTTTTAAGCGTAGCAGCAAAAGTGTAGCCTTTTTTCCTTTTAGGCTATGCTTTTAAGTGTAGCTTAGAAGGAAACACTTCTAAGCGTAGCTAAAAAAGTGTGGCCTTTTTGAACTTTAGGCTACGCTTTTAAGTGTAGCTGATAACACAACACGTGAAAAGTGTTGCCTAAACTCTAAGGTAACACTTCTTTCGGCCACCCCCGAAAAAGGTGGCCTAAAGTCAAAAAGTGTTGCCTTTGATTTCATAATTTAGGCAACACTTTTCTAGGGTGGTTAGAGGTCTAAAATGTTGTAGTGAACTGAAGAGATACACAACACTGTCAACATAATAGTAGAAACCACAACTATTTAGGCACAAGTTGTGTTACCAACATACTCCTTAATGATCTATAGGGAGACACAGCGTATTCAAAAACAACCACGACTGATTTTAATATATATGAAGAAGATACAAAGTATCATGCTAAGAGATCATATTTTAAGAGAAGATGCTAAAATTGTTGATTATCTTGAAAACATAGCACTCAACGATAGAATTGTTGAATTTTAAAGCATATGAGAAATAGATAGTTAAGCAAAGAGAGTGATCTAAACACTAGTACATTGGATCTATAATTTCACAATGGAGGTTATAAAGGAGATGATTGATGATTAATAAATGCTCCTTTCTCAAATTTTTGACAAGGTTTTCTTAGTTTCTTCTTACAAATTTATAGACCATTGAGCTACTAGTAATATGGTAATGCATGGGTCAGAATCAATAAAGAGGGAGAAATGCATATCAGAAATGAAGATTTATACTTACTGATTATAGCTGACCAACAAAGAAGCACAAGGAAGATCTTCATAGCACCGGTTAGCCACATCATACCGAGATGGAAGGTCTTGTTCTACCAAAGGACAAACATTTTCAGTTGTGGTAAATGTTTTTGAGTGATGAAGAAGAGGAGGCCTAGAGTTGAAAACCCTACTACATAGAAAAATGTCTAACCAAGATAGCTTTTTGCTTTTGTTTTATACAGAGATGGGGTTTTTCCATTTTGGGCTGCCTAATATCTTTTTTGTAGCAAGTAGATTTTGGCACTAGGCCCAAATTAGATTTTTTATTTAAGATTCTTTCTCACATCAATAGAAGGCCTAAATTTTCTTTTAAAATGGCCATGCCGTCATGAAACTTTCTCAAACAGCAATGGTGTAGATTTCATTCCCAACATTAACCCCCAATTACTTGGGGAAATAAATTTTGTAATTTATTTTCTCCAGTTGTTCAAACTCAACATAAGCCTTTTAAACAACTATTTATCGAATACATAAGATTATCATCAGTTTAGGACTTTGATATAAACATGTAATTTTTATTAAATAAATACTATAATATAAATATAATTGAATAGTGCAAGAATAATCTACACGAGAAGAGAGGGGAGGGAGAGCTATTCTTATTTCACCTTTTATTAATATCTTTTCCACCACATTAAAGGGATATTTATAAGAAAAATAAAAAACATTGGCTCAAAGAATATGTGAGACCATATTCTTGGAAACAAAGGGAAAACATGCGGATTTCATATTTTACACCACTCCTCCTTGATGTTCATGTAAATGAAAAATCATAGTGATAGTGAAAGAAAAAGTGTAATAACATTCATTGTTTGTTGCCTCTTTAAAAATTAATTAAAAAAAGCTATTTATAAGATCATTGTAAGAAACTACTTGCAGAGCTACTTTTAAGTGGCCTATAAGAGCATTATGGTTTAAGTTACTTATAAGAATCTACTTACAGAGCTGATTGTCATTTGCCTGTATGCATGCATTCAAAGTGGTTTGTAAGTTTACTTATTCATTTCGATCTTATCACGAGAACTATGTAATCAACATCTATAATATGATGTATTCACTAGTTCCTGGATTTCATCAATAAATAATGTGTCTCGTTAAAATCATATTAGGAAAAGTCTTGTGGGAAAAAGTCTTACTAAAGAAAAAGAGTACGTTACTATTATAAACAAGAGTGGTAAGAGGACGACCAAGGGTATATTGGTCATTTTACATTAATAACAAATGGACAAATTTCATTTCCAAAAGCAAGAAGGGCAAATATGTAATTTTACATTAAAAAGGGACAAATTTTAATTTCAATAGCAAATTTTTGTAGATCCATTTCTCTTCCATCTTTGTAGAACATCAGTCTTTCTTCAACCAAAAAAATTCAATTCATCCTTAGCACAAAGACTTACTCAAACATGATTCTAAAGCATAATTTCTTCCAGCTCTCTTCTTTCAACAATTATTAATCGATTTGCAATTAAAAACTTCAGGTATCTTTTCTTTCTTTGGTAAAACATGGTCAGAGAAAGGATTAAACGAAATAATAAGTAATAATATATAATTTAGAAATTTCATATCATAAACTTTGAAAGCAAGTAGAGAATTGACAGAAAATTGAGATTAAAACATGCATGAGTTGGATCACCGAATTGAGAAAATGAAAGAAAGGAAAGTAAGTCTTCAAAAGTTTGGAAAAAAACAAAGATCATGGCAATGAAAGGGTTATATATGAAAAAGCACCTATGATTTCAACTTCATCTTTTTGAACTGGATTTTAATTTCTGATACGTTCATTCATTTTGTCTGAATCTCAAAATCTCTAAACAAAAAAATATGAATAATAATTTATAATTATAATTATTATAATAAATAAAAAAATGAAATATATAGATGTATATGTACAAGAAGTGTTTATAATTTTTTTCTTTCTACATTAATATTTAAATTTAAAATAAAAAATTTTAATTCTGATATGTTCATTCATTTTGTCTGAATCTCAAAAGTTCTAACCAAAAAAATATGAATAATAATTTATAATTATAATTATTATAAAAAAAAATATGAAACATAGAGATGTATATGTACAAGAAGTGTTTATAATTTTTTTCTTTCTAGATTAATATTTAAATTTAAAAATAAAAAATTTTCATTTTTGATATGTTCGTTCATTTTGTGTGAATCTCAAAAATCTCTAACCAAAAAAATATGAATAATAATTTATAATTATAATTATTATAATAAAAAAATATGAAACATAGAGATGTATATGTACAAGAAGTGTTTATAATTTCTTTTTCTTTCTAGATTAATATTTAAATTTAAAATAAAAACAGAATAAAAGATAGGGAAAGTGGTTATAATAATTATATGAGATGTACTACAGCAATAAAAAGGATACGTGTACTAAAAAATATATATATATTGTTTTACACAATAACAAATGGAGTGGTGTAGGCTTCTGCTTTTTAGTCTTTTAGTAGTGTAGGCTACTGTTTTCATTTTTCAGGCTTTTAGCAAAGATTTTTCCTTCTTTTTTTTAATTTTATATATATATATATATATATATATATATATATATATATATATATACTAA